GGAAAAACTCACAGCTCACACAGGATGGCACCTTCATGGAACAGGGAGGAGGCTCAGTGTGTGTGCAGCTGCTGGGTTCTCCTGAATCCACTCACTGGATACAGAGCTCATTGGAGCCAAGAGCAGGGCTCGTCCCACTCAGAGCTTTCCTTCCTCCCTCAGCTCGGCGTGCTTCCCCAGTGCCTGTCCTTCCCCAAGCAGGGGACTCAGGAGACCACGCAGCGGCAGCCGAGCCTCGGACGGTCAGGCCCCAGGTGAGCTCCCTGAGTTCCCAAGTCTGTGGCCCAGGAGTAGGTCGAGCTCATCTGCAGGGCTGCGGCTGCGGCCAGTTCTGAGACGGCTCCTGTGGCTTCCCTGCCTGACTGCGCTCCGGGAGCTGGTCCACCTGCTGAGTTCATGGACTCGACCCTGCCCTGGACTTGTCCTTGTAGATGTGTCCTCCCAGCTTCCCTCCCTCCCCGCCCCTTTTACCACCAGGGCCCCGACCCTGCGCTCCCGGCACCCCTGATGACTCTGCCCTTGAGGCTGCCAGTGTCCCTGAGCAGTAGCAGCTTGTCTTTCCAGGTGGCTGCGGAGTCTGAGCTCCTGTCCGTGGACTATACTCAGAAGAAGTGGAAAGGGCCAGCGCTCAGCCAGAGAGCCCTGTACCGGAAGAACGCCATGCCGGAAAACTACCGCAGCCTGGCCTCCCTGGGTAATGATTCTGTTCCCCAGTAGCTTAGAGCCTGCCTTCTTTACATGTTCTTTGCTGTATTTTTCTGTTTTGACTTTATATTATGAAAACATAAGCAAACACAGAGAAAGTGGAGAGAAGAGTAAAGTGAACCTCCCTGCACCGTCACCCACTTTAATGGTTATTAACATTCTCTTTACTTCATTATTAATTGACCTGGGAAAAGAGAGCCATTCAGTTGTTGTAAGTAATGAGCTAAGGTACTTAGGATAAAGCTAAAGGAATGGAAACCCTGAACAAAGCGACCACCTAGACTAGACTTCCGGAAACAAAGCCTTGCAGGGACCGAGGAGCCAGGGAGCCTCAGCAGCAGAAGTGAGAGGGTTTTCCCGGCAGTGTGATTAAGACAGCTGCGCCCTGCATATCTGTTTTCTCCTCCCGCTGACACCCATTCTCTTCACTCTGAATCTTTTGTCCCACTCAGAGCTCCTCTTAGTTAGCCTTTCTGTTCCTTCAGATGCTCTGCTTGCTGAGGCTCCTACTGGCTTGCCTTCTCTCTGTGCATCATTTCAGCTTTGGTTCCTACTTGTAGTTTCCTTCATCTTGTCCTACTTTGAGTTCAGAATTTATATACAGAGAGACTCCAAGGGTGGCTTAGCCATTAAATATTATCCTTGTTTGGGCAGAACTTTGGCCCAGGCCGTGCAGAGGCCGATGACAGATAAGCTGCCCTTGGGCCTCGTGCTGGGCCCTGGTCCAGGCACCTGTTGTCCATCGTGGGATGAGCTGGGTTGCTTGGCACGAAGCATGGTTGCCTTACCTCCCTTCAGGAAAGACTGGGGCAGG